CAGCAATATACTCGGCCTCAGTTGTAGAATCAGCAACTGTTTCTTGCTTTGAACTTTTCCAGCTCACAGCGCCACCATTGAGACAGAACACATAACCAGATTGTGATCTAAAATCATCCTTATCTGTCTGGAAGCTAGCATCAGTGTAACCAATTACATCAAGCTCTTCCTGACCTCCATATATCAAGAATGAATCCTTAGTCCTTCTCAAGTACTTAAGGATATTCTTGACAGCTACCCAGTGAGCATCACCGGGATCAGATTGGTACCTACTCGTTGCACTTAATGCATACGAGACATCTGGTCGAGTACATAACATGGCATACATGATAGATCCTATTGCAGATGCATATGGAATCTTATTCATGCGATCCCTTTCTTCCTTAGTTGAAGGGGATTGTGTTTTTGATAAACACAGACCATGTTGCATAGGTATGAATCCTTTCTTGGAATCATGCATATTAAAGCGTCTCAACACTTTATCTATGTATGTACTCTGACTTAGGCCAAGCAGTTTTTGTGATCTATCTCTATAGATCCTAATTCCTAATATATAGGCTGCTTCACCTAGGTCTTTCATAGAAAAACAATTCCCTAACCAAGTCTTCACTTGTTGCAAGGTAGGGACATCGTTTCCAATGAGTAATATGTCATCTACATATAATACCAGAAACACGATCATGCTCCCACTAACCTTCTTGTAGACACAAGGTTCATCTTCATTTTTGATGAATCCATATTGTCTTACGGTTTCATCAAAACGAAGATTCCAGCTTCTAGAAGCTTGCTTCAATCCATAGATTGATCGCTGTAACTTGCATATCTTTTGGGCATCTTGTGGTATGTCAAATCCTTCAGGTTGTGTCATGTACACATCCTCAAGAAGATTCCCATTAAGGAAAGCAGTTTTGACATCTGTTGCACCCTAAAATTTGCCCAACCTTATTCACTTGGTTTATGTTTCAATGTCATTAGCATTTGCATATAGAGTCATGTACATAGACTAATCATCTGCATAGCATAGCATAACAAGTCATTCAACAGGGGACCAATCATTATTCTCATCTCTAGAAGCCTATCAAGAGGTTATTATCCCAATTCAATCTCATTCAAGTCATCAGGAAAGAATTTGAAAGCAAAGAGTTCAGCAGATCAAGCCTTGAGTCCATCACCTAGCTGAGGGTATCTGAGGGTCAGCAAGAGGGTTGTGAGCTGTGAGTTGAAGGCATGGAGAGTATCTAGACATTATGAGAGACTTAGAAAGTCATTTAAAGAAGGAGGCAAGTCATTGGTGAGAGCACAAGAGCTATAGCTGAAGGCAGTCAACTAGGGTTTCATCTGGGTCAACCCTAGGTCAATCCTAGGTCAATTGACTGATTTGAGGGGCATTCAAGTCTAGTGGAGAGATGTGGGGTTCATCATTGGACATATAAAGAAGGATATGGAGATATGCCAAGAAGAATTCAAGAGAAATCAAGGAGAAGAGGAGTTTCTAAATTAGGGTTTCTGTGTAAAATCCCCTAGTTTAGGTCAAATTTCCAAGCAAGATAAGTCAAAATGCTAGCTTCAAATGGCTTCTTGGCCAACATGGAACTTGTAGAGGATCTCAAGACCTTTAATTTGAGTGGTGGAAGACATCAAGGAGATTTATAGAACTCAAGTTATGGTCCTTGCAAGTTACAGGTCATCTGAGGTATCTGAAATTTTGTCTGTGAAAGTGACTTGACTTCCAAGCAATTTTTACCCCTCAAGGAGATTTCAAATGAATTTCTGGTCAACATAAGAATTGTTCCTAATTGTCTTAGCTTTCTAGAATGGTATAGTATGCCCCCATATGATGTGTGGAACTCAACTTATGGTCTTGGCAAGCAAAGGGTATTTTGGGCATTTGTGAATTACAGGTCATTTTAACCTATGTCCAAAACTCATACAAGGAGGCCTCAAATGGAAAAACTTACAACATCAAACTTGCTCCAAATGACATTTTGAGTCTAGAAAGAAGGTCACAAATTGTTGGAAAAGCTCATAACATGAAGTTGCATGATTGGTCAAATTTGAACTAAAATGGCTTATAACTTAAATAAAGTCAAAGTGAAAAATGGTTTGAGAGATTTATAAGTCCAAATGGAGACTTCCAATATATGATTTTGGGTCCAAAACATATTCTAAGAACAATGGTTCAAGTACATTTTTGAGCTTAGTGGAAAAAATCAAAGTTATTTATGGTTACTTGCATTTGAAGAAACATAACCAAAATGGATTCAATTTGGAATGCAAGGGAAGTTGCAAGATGGTTCTAGAAAGTTCATTTGAGCACTATATATTCATGAAATCAGAATTGAGCAAGGGTTGGATTCATTTTTCACCAAAAATTTCCCAAATTCTCTCTATTCTTTCTCATTGCAATTCCATCCAAATTTCTCAAAATCTTCATCAATCATCACCAACATTGATTCTACCATATTCAATCATCATCATGGACTAAAGATCAACAAGGATCTGATTGAAATTGATCCATTTTCGTGCACTTCCATCAAGAACACACAAATTGCAATTCCCATTGGAACTCAAGATCCAAGGCCAAATTCATCAAGGTGTTGCATACAGAATCACTTGCTGCAAGAATAGATCCAGATTGAAGCATCCAAAGGCTTGGATTCATACTGATTCATCATCATCCACAAGAACTTGCATCAGGTGCATTTTCTCTGCCATTGCTTGATTTAGTTAGTTTAGCATAGTTTTATTAGTTTAGATGTGATCTAGGTTGTTAGTAGATCGATTAGGATGAGTTTGGTGCTGTTTAGTGATGATTGTTAGCAGGTGCTTGAAACTGTTAGGACCTAGAACTCTTAGGTTAGGCCATGATAATCTTAGTTTGATAGATCAGAATAATCACCATTAGTCATAGATTAGATTAGTATAGGTTTGATTGAGAATTATGCTGATAAGTTGCAGAGCATTTTCATGGGGGCCAGAGATTATTGCTATCGGGTTGAGAGTTATGATGAGTTTCAAAACAAACTATGACCATAGGCTTGTAGAGGGAGAAATTCTGAATGATTTTCATGTTTGGATCGAGTTGAACCGTGGCCTGTAGAAGGAGAACAGAGAGCTTGAACATGATACGTGCATGGCTTCCATGGAGTGTAAACCCTAGCTTTCATGGCAGGAGGTAGGAGATATAATCAGGTTCGTCCATTGCTTGTTGGACCTTTGACCTCAGAGCCCATCGTGTGGCTCTCGTTTAAAGCAGAATTTTGGAGGGAGAGAATAGGTGCCCTAAACGCACCGTTTCATTTAATGAAACGGGCGGGCTTAGTGTGTGTTTCGCTAGTCGCACCCCCCAATACTGAGCCCACTGTGAACTGAACGTGATTTCATTTCTATTCTCACCCCCTGCGTCCTTTTTTTATTTTCATTAATGCTGACTTGTTCTGGGCTTAATTCAACTTGCTACGCGCACCCCCACTGCCTGGCCCATCCAAGAATATAACTGGAGCGAATTGCTATTAGTACCCCCCTCCCTCTCATTTTAATTCAATTTAGTTTTTAATTCATTTTTAATTTTCACCAACTTTAAAAAAATCATAAAAAATAGGAAATTAACTCTTTTTTAGTGGTTGTTTTTTCTATATTTTCTTGGTTCTGTGTAGAAAATTGTCATTAAATAA